CCCCAAAACCCCAAACCCCCAAAACCCCAAAACCCCAAAACCCCTTTTATCTAAATAATTATTGAAAGAGAATCATGAAAAATCAAGACAATCAAATCAAAAGGATGTCTTCAAAAAAGATAAACTGAATCAAATCTTCGGTTAATAATAGATACCCAAATAAAGGTATGGCTTATTCTAGTAGATGGATAACTCTCTTTTGATATAGAGCTCAAAAAGATAAATCCTTGCAGTTCTCAAAGAAAAGTAGATGTTCGGTCTTCACCCATAAAAATAAGATTGAAGCTTCCTAAGTTTGCAAAAAATAAGAAGATTATAAAGAAACTAAATAAGATTTTCCCAAATTTTCCAGGCTATTTCTCACCTCAGCAAAAGAGAGAAAATAACATTAGAATCTCTACTAAGAAAATGGGAGATTTCAGTCCCTCTCCATGCATTCACTCTGGTAGAAATACCTTCATGAATACCCAAAATTTTACTTCAAACTTCGCTCATGACTCAGGGAATGAGACAGATGATAATATTTTCAAACTAGAGATAAGGAATAACCCTTCTTCATTTGTGAACGACCAGTTCCCTCAACTGTTTAAACCTAAAATTTTTAACTTTTCAGAGGAGAATTCTCGAGTAATCTATAACAATAAAATTTAGAATTTAATGAATCCTAATAAAAAATCCATAAGTCGGTTTAAGAATTTCTTAAGAACTTCGTTCGAGAAGTCTCTTAAGATCTCACAAGTAATCAACCACGTTAGCCCAAAAATAACAGAAATCGGTATTTATTTGTCTGAATAATGTCTTCAGACCGTCTTCCAAGAGAGGAGTTTAGGGTTTGTTTTAAGTCTCCTCAAGGCAAAAGGAGTGGTATCAGAAGAGAGAAATATAGGAGTGAGAGCAAAAGCCATCCCTTCAAGAATTCCTTCCTTAGTTCCAAGCTTAACCAGCTTCAGAAGTTGAACCTCGAGATGCAGAAAAAGGTATCGAACATTGATAAGTGAGGGAAGGATCAGAACCAGTATCAGTTCAACAGGTTATTTAATTAAGAATTATGGAAATTATGCTACATGTCTATCTAACTACAAATTGTCAACCACATCAGCATATTTTGGGGTTTTGGGGTTTTGGGGTTTTGGGGTTTTGGGG